GTATCATTAGCTTCTGTACAGAATGCTCAATTAAGTTGGGTAGATTAAGCTTTGTTTCATGTAGTTATAATTAGTAATGACAGAGCTTAGTTTTAGGACAAGTGCGCTTTTCCCCTTTTGTTCCAACACCAATTTGGGTTGAAATATTCTGCCCAATGTGATGCATTTTACGTTATATTTGTTTGATCGCCAGTCCAGTAGAATGGGATGGGATGGAATGGGATACTTGATGAAATAAGTGTATTTCTGTACCTAGCTTGGATACAAGCATATATAGTAAATAACAAGCAAATACATGAGGATAAAATGAATGTGCACCTGATTATGTAGCCTCAAACCAGTCTTGAGGGCCAAAGCATGACACAATTGACACATTCTGTAATCATTTTTCCTGGTGTTCTCCGCATTTCTCTAGTAAGGACTACTATCCCTTCTTCTTCTTTTTTTTCTCTTTTAGTCTTTTATCTATTTTTTTTTAATTTATTTATTTACTTTTTTTTCTATTTTTCTTCTTCTTTTTTTCCCTCTTTCTTATGGTATACACTGTTGGAATATTACTTGAGAACATATATTTTTATGAAAATCCATCAAAACAGAGTATTTCATTCAAAATAACATGCAACTGTTAGGTATACATCCTTATTGGAGTTTGAGACCCAATTGGTTTGTTAAAGAATTTTAATTTGGTTTGGTTTAGGTATAATATATTTTAATATATTATATCTAAATTTTTTGGAGACCTAATTCAGTTTGGTAACAACTAGGATTTTGGTAAAACAAATCCAAGATTTAACAATATATAAATATTGTTTATGTGTACCGTGGGCAGTAGCAGCAAGTAATTGATTCGGTGAGATTGCACTTGGTAATCAATTCGGTCCACTTTGCTTTGTGTAGCAACAATTTGTTTGATATTAATTCAATTCAATGGGTTGTTTTCAAGCACTGTTTAAAGGCTTTGACGACTTCGGCGTGCAGTCGGTGTTGATTTGGGTTGTTATTTTGGGTCTTCTACAACTCTGGTTCTGAAGATTTTGGTTCATCTATTTGGTGAGGTCTTTCCTCTTTGTTTATTTGTGATTATTTGGAATTCACCTAAGGGTGGTTTTGTGAGACCATTCGTGTCTCGTTTGTAATCGTTTGGAAACTATTTGGTTGATAGTGGAATCGGATTTCGATCCCGTGGACGTACCTCACATTGAGGGAACCACGTAAAATTCTTGTGTTGCTTTTGATTTAATTTTTCCGCATTAGTTTTTATTCCCATTGATTGATTTACTTATGGGAAATCACATATTTTCCTTAACAGCAGTAACAACACGGTTCCTTTCAAACATTCTAAACCTTTGTCCTACAATCTGTTTATAACCTGTGGAGAACCTTAGGCAAGATATGGTTTCCACAATCCATTAAAGATTAATATTTATGTAAAAATTGATTCTGAATCTTCTCTATCTTTTCTGTTTTTTTAATCTTCGTAGTTTATTTTTGACGTTGCTGCAAAGTTCTGTGTTAATATTGCAACTCCTCAACATGGATGTTGTGTTTTGAACCGATGCATTGATAAGTCAGAGGGGAAATATCGAGAAAAGTTAGCTGCAGAAATTGCTGCTTATGGGCTTATCCTTGCTCAAGATGCTTTTGGATAATTAGTTCAGGAGCTTAGCCCATATCTTTGATGGAATAATTGTTATGCAATATGTATGCATGTGTGCATGTGTAATCTGATACAAAAATCTTAACTATGTGTTTGGATCATGGATTTGGGAAGGGAAAGGGAAATGAAGAAAAAAATTAATTATATTTCATTCACATTTCCCTCACCTTTTCCATTTCCCTTTCTAAATTCCTAACCAAATCCAAGATCCAAACACAACCTGAATCAATGTAGTTGATGGGTCATTTTACTATTTACATTGGAAAATAAAATAATTGTATCTCTAACATTATTCCCATCAACTACTTACTTTGTCATCAATAAATACGTTTATATAATTTAATTTGTGATGGAATAACAATATAATAGTTCAAATGTCTACACTCTTTATAATCTTAAAAGCTTAATACTACAAAAGCCTTAATCCCAGCTATTGAAACATTAATCCTTCTGTAGGCTCTATTTAGGGTCCAAATCTTCTGTTAACAGTTAATTCATTCGCTAACATCTTTATTTAGTATTCATCATTGCCATCATCATCATCAAATCATCATAATTATCATCTTTTTAATTCTTTAATTGGTGAAATGTCATGCCTTAATGCTTTCGCATTTCATTATGATAAACCAATTGGATAGATATAATAATATATTATATATCTGATATATGGTTATGGGTAATCAAGTGAGAAACAACGTATAGTCTGTTTCTACCCATATACTGACTCTCTCCCAAAAACACAACGATCAAGTCTTTGCACTGTGATTTTGTGTGGGTGATATTCAATCTGTGATATCACTCCACTGCTGGGTTGATTTATCAGTTTTCTGGAAGCACGTGATTTATCTAAGAAGGTTCTATCATCAAGAAGGTATGATCTGATTATTTTATCCGCTGCATATTCTGTGTTTTTAGTTTACATCATCATTGCCATCATCATCATCAAATCATCATAATTATCATCTTTTTAATTCTTTAATTGGTGAAATGTCATGCCTTAATGCTTTCGCATTTCATTATGATAAACCAATTTTCCCTTGGGCAATTTCATACATGAAGTTTTTCATACTACGATCTCAATCAATGTGTTGTTATTTGGCCATATTTTTGTGTATTCTTAGGCTATTGCAGGTGTGCTTATTTTATAGAAATCAAGCTGCTTGGTTTTGTAGAGCCCTTTAAACCTGTGCCTCAATAGTGATTCTGTTCATAATATATGGGTTTGGAATCTTATAGTTGTGATTTTTTTCTTAATTATGTACATTGATGGTTAACTTACATGTCACTAGATAATTTTTATTTATTATATTATATGCATCCCCCTAAACCTCTACCAAAGCACCAATCTGGTCAATTAATGGTTGCTGCGATTATTTATCCAAGGCTTTGGGCCATAGTTTATGGTTGCATTTTGACTTTAATATTTCCTTTTTTGTATCCCAGAAATTATGTTGTCCAATATATTATGGAGCTTAAGATCCCTTTAGCTGCTACTAGCTTGATTTCTCAGTTTGAAGATCACTACGTTTACCTGTCCATCCAAAAATTCAACAGCAATGTGGTTGAAAAATGCTTAAAGTTCTTTGAAGAGAGCCACCAAAGAATATGTTTCGGTGCCTCACTTTGAATAGTTGCTGCAAGACCCTTTTGCCAATTATGTCATTCAGTCTGCACTTGAACATACTGAGGTATGGAACCAACCAACACACACCTCTAATGTCATTAACTTGGTTCCATATTATCAACGCCAAGGAAAATGTTTGAGACCCCTAAAAAAGTTCCCCCAATTTTATACCTATAATGATGCGACATGATAGGTATTAACTTTTGATTTGTTACACACTCAAGTCCAACTACCTTGTCTCATTATTGTAGGTCTCTAGCATTTTCTCCAACATTAATGTGGCAAGAAAATCTAAAAGTTTGGTGACTGTTTGGTAGATTCTGGATTTTTCACATTGAAAATTGGCCAATTTTCTTAAAAAGTCAGTTTCACAATCCAATTCTTTCCTTTTTATTTTTTTGGAGAGCTTTTATTTGAATTTGGAAAGGAAATAAAATTCAAGCTCAAAGTTGGCCTTAGGTGCCCTTAGCTCAGGATTTCTAGCTATGTCATACTTTTAGGTCAGGAGAGAGAAAAGAAATTTCTAGCTGTTGACAAATTTCTTAATCAAAAGAAAAATTCTAATCTTGAAAAAAAAAAAGAAAAAAAAAAGTATATTGTATTAACTAAATTACGAATACAAATACACATGCTCCACCAAACCATATCTCTGTCACTGTTGGCTTAGCAGCCAATATATAAGTTATCACTCTTTGCGTCTTGTTTAACAAATTTGTAGTACATCATTTGATGAAATTTGTGATGTTATTTGTAATAAAAAAAAGTGAATCAAGCTTGTCATGGACTCTTCCTAACATGTTAATTGCTTTACATCATAAACCACCGCCTCCTTCCCCGCCAACCACCACCTCCCTCCCTATTCACCAAATGTCATAAACCAACATCATATTTGAACCATTTTGGTAATTTATACATAATTATTCAATGGAAAATAGCACCCCAACATTGCCTTTTCAAATCAATATAAAAGAATCCAACATTTTTTGGTGCTACAAGGTTTATACTCAAGAAAAATAAAAATAAAAACAAAACAAAACAAAACAATATAAATAAGATGACAATAAAGAGAGAAGCCACACCATGTGTGTGTGGTTTGGCTACTACCATACACACACACTACAAGAATTCACACATTTGCCGACCACTTTTGCCGACCAAAAAAAATTTGGTCGCCAAAAAATGACATTTGCCGACCAAATATTAATTAGTCGCGAATGATCATTACTTTTGGCGACCAAATATTATTGGTCGCAGAAAGCTATATTTTGGCGACAAAAAAATGAGTTGGTCGCAGAAAGTGGTATGCTTTTGCCGACCAACTACAAATTTGGTCGCCGAAGGTCACATATTTTTTGGCGACCAAAAATTTGGTCGCCAAAACCTTATTTTCAGCAACAAAAAAAAATTAGTCGCCAAATTTGTATTTTTAGCGACTAATATTTTAGTCGCCGTTGATTGAGATTTGGCGACTAAAAAAGTTTGTCGGCGAAGGTACTTTTTCTGCGACTAATTTGGTCTTTTGGTCGCCAAAAGTTTGGGAGGGAAATTTGAACAGTCCGGAGGGGGGAAATGAAATTTTTTGGCGACCAAAAAAATTTGGTCGCTAATCAAAAAACGACGTCGTTTTGTACCTGGAAAACAGAAAAAAAAAATTAAAAAAAAGGCAAATCCAGTGAGTAGCCTTTGTGTATGTGAGGCCGATTTGAACCCTTCTTCCTTTGTGGAATCTATGGAAGGGTTGACGAGTCATATTATCGCGATGAATGAAAGAGAGAAAGGGGTTGCATCGTTGGGGTTAGCTTCGGTGGAGGTTGCACAGGGGGATCCGTTTCGGCGAGTTACTCAGTCGAAGCCCTTTGAGGAGTGAAGAGAGGAGCTTAATCGTATGAAGGCTTCCATGTTTGGTGTGGATCGGGAGTTTCTGATCCCGTGTGATCTTATCCAAGAGAAAACTTCAACCCTAACAGCTTCTACCCTAAATCTTCTCTGGTATACTCTAACAGCTTGTACCCTAACAGCTTAATCGTATGGAGTTGGTGGTGGTATGGCTGATTCGAAGGTTTATACACCTATTGGAGGTCGATCTGGGTCAGGTAGTCGCGGAGGAAGGGGAGGCAGAGGCCAAAATCCTGTGGCCCTGAGTCCTGAGTTAAGAGAGAGAGAGAGAGAGAGTTACAGAGAAGATGGGAGGAGAAGGGAGAGAAGGGGATTGAGAGTGCGGTGGATGCAGGTACCGCAACTATGCCTTCAGGTCCTTCTGCAACAGATGTAAGCAGGCCCCCTTCTCGTCGACACCAAAACCCCCGCCGATTCTAAATGGCTCCCCCGTATCGGCGATTGGATCTGCACTGGTATACTCTCCTCCTCCTTTCTTATCACTTTGATTATGTGTATATATATGTATGTATATATGTTTGTATGTTTATATCCTCGTAGTGGTGACTGGAATTGGTTATGGGGATCTAGTGACTAGGGTTGAAAATTTCGAGTCTTTTTGGGTATACAAATTTAAACTGACCGCATTGCCAATTGGGTTTTTCGGGTCTGCAAGTTTGTTTGCTAGTGTTTGTTTGGGGTTATAGGACTACATAATTGATACCCGACAATGGCCAAAAACTAATAATATGCTTGTGCGTTTGTCAAAAATTAAGTCTTATCCCTATTCCCGGGTGTTTGGCTTTAAACACTGTTGGATTAGCTAATTTGGTTGCGGGTAATTCTTAACCCCTTTTTGACATTCTCTCTCTCTCTCTCTCTCTCTCTCTCTCTCTGTTGATTACATGGTCACTGTTATATTATATCAAAATTATACACTGGTGCCTGGGTATGGTGAGCACGTTTTCATTCACTTCAATGGACAAGTGCAACTAAAGTACTAGTTCAAAAGAGTATGATACATTGACAAGTGCGGAATATATGTAAATGGATGGAATTAGTAGATGCCATGATTAGATGGGGAATTGCTTTTATTTGTTTATGAGAAACTAAATGGGTGGTGAAAAAATTTAGGAAAAATGAAAAAATATTGGAAAAGAGAATTGCGGAAATGGAGTGTAGACAATTGTAGATAAAAAGTAAAAAATCTAAAAGAAGAAATGTTTGGTTAAAAAGAAAAGGAGAGAATATGAGTGAAATTAGTGTTAGGAGAAGAGACACTAAATATAATTAATGCCTATGCAGTTATGTTCCCCAAATAGGATTAGATGAATCTATGGAACGATAATTTTGGGAGGATTTGAATTGATTAGTACATACGATACCTAGCAAAGAGGGATTTTTTTTATAGCCCTTGATCTTAATTGCCACATAGGGAGAGGTAATAGGGGATGTGAGGCAGTGCATGTGGGTTATGGATTTGAAGAGAGCAATGATGAATCTATTGCTTTTAGGATTTGCAATGATATACTTCTTTCTTTACAAACATATACTTTTAAGAAGAGGGATAAACATTTAATAATTAATTGCATTTGAAAGTGGAGTGAAAATTAGTCAAATAGATTTCTTTTCTTACTAGGATACTTGATAAAAGAACATTTAATTTAAGAATTGTAAAAGTAATGGAAGGAGAGTCTCGTTACACAACATAAGTTAATGGTATTAGATGTATGTATGTATGTATTAGGAGATGGAAGTGAAACTGTAACATAAGTAGTCACCTGTGAATTTGATCGTAGAATTTTAAAAGTAAAACTTTGGCTCTCTTTAAGAATAGAATGTTAAGTCAGGAAAATGGACTTCAATCTAGGAAACTAATTCTTTGTGGTGTGAGATGGCTACACTCATATTAATAACATTAGAGGATCGATACAGTCTCAATATACTTTGAGATGTAGAAATGGTTCAATTGCCAGGTGTCCTGTTGGAAAACACAGTAAGAATCTTCATATACATCTTTATAGTGGTCTACATTTTTTTTATACAAATAATTAATGGAAAATGCTAACGACTGCCCATAGGGTTGTCATTAATGTTGGTAGATGTGTAAAAAGTGTATTGAAATTGGTAAAAGAGTATAGAAATATGTAAAAGTGTTTAGAAATGTGTAAAAATTATCTTGAAAATCAAACTTTTGTCTTTTTGCTTCACTAACAGTCTATCAACACAAATTATTCTCTTAGAAATTGATTTATTAATCGTCCACCACAATACCAAATTTAAAACTTATGAATTATTGAAGTTTATGAACTTATTAGGTAATTATTAAAGGGTTGACCGTGCTTTTTAAATATATAATTTGTCTTCATGCTGGACTCAATTTCTTTTGGTTGATTGTTCCTTTTAATAGTCTACCACTCAAATGTACTCATATTCTGTAGACCAAAGGCTAAATCTCCACCTCAAGATGCTTTACTAAAACTGGAAACAGAGCAAACTTTCACTGAACTGTCTCAAGAGAGCTCCATGTTTGTTTTTAAGCTGGGTTTAGTTAAGCTCCAATGCTGCCTCTTGATGAATGGGACCTCTAGTGATGTTTAGAATATCTCATGTCATTTCTTTATGTCAGTAGCTTTAGGGGAATTGAGTTCTATCCTTTTTTGTATTTTTCTTTCATGATCTTGTCAATTGACCTTGCTTCAGGTTTTTGTCATTTTTGTAAAGCTATGGTTATAATGTTTGCATCATATTTGTTTTAGTATGATCTACCGTTGTTGATTGTGTTATCCTTTGCACTTGTACTAATGTCAGATGGTTTCTCATAATGCTAATTGCCTGTATGTGGTTGAAGCATCTATGGCACATAGATCATCAGATGAATCCTTAGTCTATGCTATATGATTTTTTTTCACTAGCACTTTATTTACCTTCAATGGCATCTGTTACAGCTGAAAATATTTGCAGGATTGCCCTTTCCTCCCCTTTACTTCTACAATGGTGGACTTAGAGAGTTCTTTGCTACAATAAAGCAACAAGTTTTTATTGCGAGGTAGGTTGTTTTTAATTTTAATTGTTCTTTTCAACTTGAAATCCTTTGATTGTGAGTAATGAGCATAGTTGGAGATAGAATAAATTTGTTTTTTGGACTAGAATATATTTTTTTTATTATTGCAATATGAATGTCGAATTCCCTAGTTTGTTTTTCTGACAATCTATTTTAATTTAATATGATTGATTTTTGTTCATTTGAACCACATAAAATTGTTATTAAGGCAACAAACATAAAATTGCCCATTCAATACAAAGTTGTGCTTGAAAATTGGATCACGTAGTATTAGATTCGGGTTCAGATTACACAGTCCTATAAGATCCAACTGGTTATAGAAGAGTCATGTAACACAGATAATCATTGCAAACAACTGGTTATATGGACTTTCCAGAAGATTGTGTTTGTTGAAAAGTCATGTAAACTGTCATCCAACTGGTTATAGAAGAGTCATCCAACTGGTTATAGAAGAGTCATGTAACACAGATAACCATTCCACAGTCCTATTTAGATCCAACTGGTATTGTTTGATGTTCTTCTGTTTGAGAATATTTATTCTGAAGTTATTGAAAATGCCATGTGTTTTGAGCTAGATGCTGCAGATATATGTTTGTTGAAAACTGTTAATGTCGCAAACATACATAAAGTAATGCAAAACCAGCACATTCCTCTAAGTATGGATATATCGAGGGTGATAGTAAACACTCCGATAAAAGTACTTTCTTGCTGCATCCACAATACTAACATGACTAGAGCTAACATATTGTTTCATCTTACTGAAGTGAGCCCCTTTAATTATTTAGTCTTTGGAAACTTGTTTTCAGATATGATGAATAAATATTTGCTTCGCAAGGGCAATGTGATTAAAAGAACATCTAACAATACTCGTTCAGATGATGACTTTATGATGCTTCTGCCTACTGCCTGGTTGTACTTACAGTCATCTTCCATGAAATATGGGGAGCAGTTTCAGATATGTGTTGGAAATAATCTTCTTTCTATAGCAAGATTCTCTTGAGCTGTTTCTCAGACTGGAAGAGCTATGTTTCTGGGGACATATTTAAGCTAGAATGTACTGAGTTCTTGTCTCCATCTATGGAGGAACTTCTTAATCTTGTCTTTGACAGTCTCTTGGGAAAGGTAATTCTTATGCTTCGGTACTACTTTTCCTTGAACAGAGATGCTGTGAAATTGAAAGAGCAGTTGAAGTTATTTGATTCTATTTGTCCACATTCTGGTGCACTTGACACTATCCTAGATTGTGATGTTAGTGAGATTGATGCTTATTCACTTAACCAGTCTTTAAACCTTGTAAATAGAGTTGTTGCAAAGATATACTTTTGTAGGATGCTTTTATTTCAAAAGGATAATCAGATTCAGTCTCTGCCGGGGGAAGATGGGAATATGAAGGAGATTCATTCAGAAGTGAGATCTAATAAAGAGGACTCGTCAGATTTCGGTTTATGAACATATTGGTGTGGACTTGGCACATATTGGTGTGGACTTGGCAGTTGATTGTCAAGAAATGCCCCTCAAAGTCTGAGGACTCTGGAAAAGTCATTGGCACAAACTATTTCTTGTTCATGTTTTTGGAGGCCTTCATTCTAAGAAATATTCTAGAGTTAACTAGAGAGATGCATAATTGTCTTATCAAATTGAATTCTCTTCCATTCATTGAACAATTGGTGAGATTGTCTCTTCTTCATAGGTTTGAGGACCCTGCAACACTGAAGATGCTATGAAGTGTTCTTACTTTGCTATCTGATGGGAACTCAAACAGTTTAGTGCTTCAGCTGCTGCTTGCTCACTCTCAGTTTGCACCTACCATACATTATGTTTCCAAATCATCTGGTGGTTCTCAGTTTGGTGTGATCTTTAAGCCTATGTCCAGCATTTTGAGATTACTTGTTGTTCCATCTACTGATCAAAGTGCACTTAATGTGGAAATGAGTCCACAAAATACATATGAACTGAGCATGAAACGGTTGGAAGTTGTTAAGTTACTTAGGGCACTGTTTCATTTCACGTCTCAGCAGTGTGGTTTTGATTTCAAAAAAGACATCAGTGTGAATTCTAGAGAATTGGTTTTCTTGCTTCTGTCTTCTTATGGTGCAACACTCAGTGAAGTTGACTTGGAAATATATGATCTCATGTTTGAAATTGAGTCTGCTAGTGAATCAAATTCTGGAAGCATTGCTGAGATGGATTACCTTTGGGGAGCTGCTGCTATAAAAGTAAGAAAAGAACGAGAACAGGAGCAGGATCTGTCATCTGTTAATATGAATGATGTTGAAGCAGTTGAAGAACGCCGAAGAAGTCAATTTAGGGAAAACCTCCCTGTTGACCCCAAAGTGTGTGCAACTACTGTGCTACATTTTCCTTATGATAGAACTGTGAGTGAGGGAACTTTATTCTTGTCCAAGTATCGGCATGATAATTCTGAGGTATTTGTCTGACTACAGTGAAGCTGAACTCCTCTTATGGCATATTCACCCAAAAACTCCTCTTATGGCATGCTGCAGTTTTCAACTATTTGTTTATATAATTTGTTATTGTCATTATTATTGTTGTTATTATTGTTATTATGAACTTGTCCATGGCCCAGTTGCAATTCTGATTAATTTGTTGATTTTATTCTACGCAGACACCTTATGCAAATGTTGAGAAAATACTAATATATGATCCTGTTTTCATATTGCGCTTCTCAATTCATAGTCTGTCAATGGGTTACATTGAGCCTATGGAGTTTGCTAGTTTAGGGTTGCTCGCAATTGCATTCGTTAGCATATCTTCACCACATGATGAGATGAGGAAATTGGGTTATGAGGCTCTTGAAAGATTCAAGACTGCATTAGAGGTACTTCTGTCTTTCATCAAAATTGATGTTTATGGAATATGCCGTGAGTACTGCAAAATTTTTCATAAATTTGGGTTGTTATTTGTTCTTCCTATTGTGTGTGTAATGTTAACAATTCAAGCTGGAATGAGGCTGCATTAACGTTCAGTGTGCGATTGTGGAAGCACTTGCTTTTAGGAGGGTCAAAGTTTTGGAGTTTGTAGGAAACATCTGACTACACCCCAAAACTCAACTCTATGTTGGTGATCTGTTTTCTCTAGTTTGCTCTACGCAAAAGCATGCTTACATATACATATAAGTAGATCAATCAATAGGGCCAGCTAAGCTTGAGGCCTGCCTGTTCAACCCATACAATTCCAGGCCAATATTAAATTGGGAACGGTCTGAGTTTGGACAAAGTTAGGCCCAAAAGTGAATTCAGCTGAGTTTGGGCAATAAATAGCTCAGCCTGTCCAAGGCCTGGCCCATTTTATATAAATGTACAAGTGATAATTTGAAGTTCTAATTTATTTCTTTATTTTTATATTAGCCTAAAAAATAAAGAATTGTATATATCTTTTTTTTTTTGGCCAATACATAATTACATAGATACATGTGTTACTTAGAGAATTTGTATAGGAAAATATTCTATGTACATAAAATGGAAGAGAGAGAGAGAGAGTACATAAAATGGGAAGTATTCTACAAAACTATGTATGAGAATTTAATTATTGTTAAGTCAAAATCATAGATAAAAAGGCATTTTTGCCCATCCCTTCTCCCACCACCCTGTCCCCTTCTTTCTGCTAGCTTTAACACCTTGGCTTTCATCACATGCAAGCACACAAAATTTGTCCACAGAGTTGGAAATCCACACACACACACATATATATAAGTGCCATATTGGAGGAAAATAATATGAACCAGAGTGAGTGCAAAAAAGTTTAGTGCATATATTTAGTGTGCCGATTCCTTCTCGGCACGAATCAACCACCTGACATGAATCATTAAAATACACATCGCCACATTGGTTGTGAAAAATGAATTAGAGAATGTGGCAATGGTGATGGGTATTTTAAGGGGTGGGGGTGGGGGTGGGGGACTAGGGTGGGTTTGGGAGGCAGTAAGGGTGGATTCAAGTGGATCGGGCGTGGCGACAGGAAGGGATATACATGCACAAATATGGCTTCTTCTTCCCCCCCCCCTTGTTTTTGTTCGATCAGTAAATAATTTCCTATACATACCTTTTAAAACAAAAGTTTCCATTTAATGACTTAACGTTAATGTATTTGTCATTTACATTTCCAGCTGCTGTCATACAGTATTTTGTAGTGTTGGAGGAACCTTTTTTTTAATTTATTTTATTTTAAATTTCAGCTTAATTGTTGTAAACATATGTGGTCTGCCTTTCTTTCTTTCCCACGTTGAGAGAGAGAGAGAGAAAAAGATGCATAATTTTCTTTTATGCGTCAAATTATCTGTGAAGGTCTTTAATATTTCTCTGTTTTTGTTATTAGTTTTCCTTTAGTATCTGTAAGTTCTTTGTTCATAACGATTTCAAACTATTTATTACAGAGGTGTCAAAAGAGGGAGGGTTTAGTGCGACTTCGGCTTTTGTTGACGTATTTGCAAAATGGTATAGAAGATCCTTGGCAGGAGATTCCTTCTATCATTGCTATGTTTGTTGCAGAGGCTTCTTTCATATTACTGGACTCTTCACATGATCATTATTTAACCATAAGTAACTTTTTGTTGCGCTATCTGAGGGTGAATGTGAAGGTATTTGCTTTCTGACTGCAAGGAATCAGTTTATGCTATTGTCATTTAGCTTAGCAGTTGGCCTTATAAGGTTTATGTGCAATTCATTCATTTCTATTATTCATTGACAAGAGTCATATTCAATTAACTAAGAAATAGCTATATAATTCGTGTCCTTTCTGCGTGTAACATCGATCAATTCTGAATTCTTATAGTATTTTCCGACTTTGGTTGCAGTGTATACCATTATTTGAAACTTTTTTTTTGAGCAGCACTGTGAAGTTTAAGACACTCAGACTCTGGATACTTCGTCTCTTGTATGCTGGGCTAAATTCAGATGATGATGCTCAAATATATATCAGGAACAAATATATATCAGCATTGTGAATTCTTATAGTTTTATTTGTTGATAGCTGCGCATGGATAACAAATAGTTATGTTTTAAATTGTTATGCTAGACGGATGTGACTTGTGAATGAAAACTTAGAATAGTTGTATTGTGTCGAATGTTAATGAATTATGTATTGTGTCGAATGTTAATGATTCAGTTAATTTGAATGATGCTTTAAAATTATAAGTTTATTATGGATTGAATGAATTATTAGGAATTACAGGTGTATTGTTTTCCTGCTTTGGCGACAAATTCATTAGTCGCGGCATCCAAAATAATTTTTTTTTGCAAAAAATGACAATTGCCGACCAAGAGTTTTGGTCGCAAAAAAAACATCTATTGCCGACCAAAACAACTCTTGGTCGTGGAAACTCACTTTTGCCGACCAAAACTTTTGGTCGCGAAAAGTAACAAATGGCGACCAAACTTTTTGGTCGCAAAATGTGTCAATTGGAGACCAAACTTTTTGGTCGCGAAATGTGTCAATTGGCGACTAAGATATTTGGCCGGGAAAATATCACTTTTCGCGACCAAAGTGTTTTCGCGACAAAATGAATTAGTCGCGGAAATTAAATATTTAGCGACCAAAAATTTAGTCAGCAAATCTAACTTTTGCCGACCAACCAAAATTTTGGTCGCAAATTACTTTTGCCGACCCTCAATTGGCGACCAAAGTAGCGACCAAAAAAATTGGTCGCGGATAACTTTTGCCTACCAAAAATAGACTTTTAACGACCAATTTTTTTGTTGCCAAAAGTGTTAATTCTTGTAGTGACATGGCACAAAAAGCCCCAAGGCTACATCTCTCATTTTATTGATTTTCACTCTTCAATATTTATTTTTACAATAAAACCCCCTATATAAAAAGTATATTGTATTTGGTAATAGAGACGATTGGGTTTTTATCTAATATCTAACATATCCTTACTAAACAAAATAGCTTTGCACTGCTAGTGCACAAGTCTATGAGGCTTGAGTTTTGTTAAGCGCACAAAATTAGTGCACGGAAAAATATGCAGAATAGAAAGTGATCAATTCTATACATTTTTATGAGCAGTAATTTTGTGCACATAGGTGAGGCTCTTCGGAATTTTTTGGGTGGATACCAATTGAGAAACAATGTGCATGGTTGGCCTAGATTGTGGATTGACATGCAAACATGCAATTGCCAATTTTACACTACGCATCACTACCTCCTCAACTTCAAGGGAGGGAGGTAAAAGGCGTTGGTCCAATACATCCTTTAGTTGTATGTTCTCAATAGTTGGGGTCAACAAGGAGGTGATGAAGTCTCCCAGATGCTTTCCTTTGATCACTTCCAGTGCCAACACACCAAAGCTATAAACATCACACTTTTCAGTTACCTTCATTGTGTATGCAAGCTCTGCAAAAAAAGAGAGACATGATCATGCACTTGTTTTGTTACACTTCAGATTCTATGTCAATTTAGTAGAGAATAAAACTATATTTACCTGGTGCAACATATCCGTATGTGCTTGCAATCTAGTTAGAGGAATCTAGCTTCAAAAGCTTGGCAGTGCCAAAGTCCAAAATATGACCCCCATACTCTTCATCAATCAAAACATTGTTGCTGGAAATGTCTAGGTGAACAATGGACGGTGTGCAATCATGGTGCATGTATGACAAAGCGCTTGCCACACCCTTAATAATATTCACCCTCTTTGGACAATCCAATTCTTTAGCTTCTTCATCTTTGTTGAAAATTACAACCAAACTATCTCTTTCGATGTACTCATAAACTAGAAAAGAGTATCGAGCATACGAACAAAACCCAAAAAGATTCACTATGTTTCGATGCTTAATTTCTGTCAATGCCCTTACCCCGTTTAAGAAATCTTTCCTATCGGCCCTCTCAGATAACGGATGAAGTTTCTTCACAGTTACTATATTAGCTGATGGTAACTTCGCTTTGGAGACAGTTCCGTATCGTCATTTTCCAATGCAATATGTGGCATCGAAAAGCTCGGTAGCTTTTACATTGTCATTGTACATCGCTCTTCCATCGAGTATTAGTATTGATAACAGATCTTCAATTGAGGTTTGGGTGTCACCCTTTTTAACTCGTGACTTTCTCTTTCTTGAATTGAAAATGATGAGAAGTCTGATGAATGCACCTAAAAGTAAGAGTGCTTCACCAAGAGAGAGCACGATTATAAGAACAAGTGTCCCATTTTCTAGAGTGTGTTTGTGCATTGTAGAAAGAATTTCGCAGGGCTGCAAGCCTTTGACATTTCCACACGGACCTTTGTTCCCTTGCAGTGCTTCCATTGATGCATTTATGAAGGCGTTGCTCAGGGGAATATGACCTTGCAACTGATTGTACGATATATCAATATACGCCAAGCCACGCATATCTTCAAAACTCTTTGGAATGAAACTAGAGAGTTTATTGTGGGAGAGGTTCAACTACTCCAAGCTCTACCAATTTGTGATTTCCAATGGTATTTCCCCTATGAGAATGTTATTACTCAGATCCATCTCGGTTAGTTGAAATAACTTACCAATCTTTAATGGAATTTTCTGGTTGAACATGTTGTTGCTCAGGTTCAAGTAAAACAAATTTCAATAGTTCTCCAAAATACCTAGTATTGGCCCACTAAATTTGTTTGTGGATAGAACAAGTTTCGACAACTTAGTTAGTGATATGAGTTCTTGAGGTATCTAACCCAAAAGCTAATTATCAGCCAAAATCAGCCACTCCAAAGAAGTCAACTTTCCAAATTCCTTTGGGATCTCTCCAACTAAACGATTTGAAGATAAATCATGTCATTCTAGCCGTGTTGATTTTCCAAACCCTGGTGGAATGCTACCAGTGATGTTATTTCTTGCTATTTTTAGGAGTGTCAAATTTAGGAATATTCCCCAATTTTCTAAGAATGTGCCATAAAAATTATTGTTACTCAGATCTAGGTAGACCAGGTTTGGATTAGTGCCAAAATCTTCAAATATATTTCTAATGAGTTGGTTTCCCTCAAAGCGGGCTGTTGCTAAGCTTAAGCAGTTTCTTAGACTTTAGGGATTATACCAGTGAGCTGATTGTGGTGCACTCTAAACTATTGAAGTTTACTACCATGGCAAAGCTCTGGGAGATTCCCAGAAAATTGATTTTCATCCATTACTAGCTCAACCTATTTTTTCAAATTACCAAATTCCTATGAAATGCGGTTGGATAGTTGGTTGGAAAGGAGGTTTAGAATTTCTAAATTGGTCAAATCACCTAAAGAACTGGAATGGGACCACTAAGTTGATTCGAACTCAATTCCAGATAAATGAGGGACTTCAAGTTCCCTAATTGCTTAGGAATTGGACCAAAGAGTTAATTATTCCAGAGGTATAGTTGGGCTAGAGAGCTCAAATCACCTAACGATGTTGGGATTGAGCCAGTAAGATTGTTGGCCTGAAAGGTTAGGCCCTGTAGTGATTTCAACTGTCCTATCTTGGTGAATGGAACCGAATAGGGAATGGTTGAACAAGTGCAACATAGTTAGGTTATTCAAGTTTCCCAATGTGGAAGGAATAGTACCTGTGAGATTGTTGCCATCCATGTAGAGCTTAACAAGATTGACTAGGTTTCCCATTTCGGGAGGAATGGAACCAAAAAGATCATTTCCATAGAGATATAGATGAGTCAAGTTTCTCAAATTGGTTAAAGAAATAGAAATGGGACCGAAAAACTGTTGATATACAAACCAAGCCCAATTAGAGACTTTAACTGGCCTATCTCTTGAGGAATTGAGCCATTCAACTGATTATCGAATAAGTGGAGAGTTTCAAGATTTGTTAGCAGGCCGATTTCTGGTGGGATGATTCCTGAGAATTGGTTGGTGGACAAATCAAGACAGATGAGTTTGGAGAGGGAACCAATTAGAGTTGGGATGACACCAAAGAATTTATTGATGTTGAGTTCGATAAATGGAAGATTGGGAAACAATGAAAATCAAAAGTTGTCGAGCGTACCATTTACACTTGAACTTGTGAGGTTCAATTTAATGACGCTTCCATCAAGGTTGCAAGAAACTCCAAACAAATTGCAGGGACTGGCATTTGTTGAGCCACTATCATGGGGTGGAAGCACCCATGAAGTTAGCAGGGAATCGTTTGTACTTTGCAGGCTTGTTTTCCATGTGAGGAGAGCATTAGTTGCTTCTACAGAAGCAGATGGTTAAAGAATAGGGTGTAACAAAAAAGACTAAGGAAAAAAATGTAGAACAGTTTCTCTAAAGGTCCCATTGTTTTTTTTTTCCCCCCTTTGGTGGATAACTAATGGGTGTTTCACAGCTCTAATTTATATACAAATTTTCCAATGGTACCTGATGGGCATGGCCCACATGACCCAGGACAGCCCAACCCACAACTTTCTTGGGCTGCCCAAACGGTCATTTAGTTATAATCTAGTAGGTGAAACTCAACAGCAGGCCCAAACAGTCATTTAGTTAAAATCCAGGCCCTGTGACACTCAGACACCTGTTAGGCAGGGAGTTAGCCATGTGGCAAACAAAGATCCTGCAGTGTTATTTAGCCCAGGCATTAAGCATTAAATAAGGATGTCATGGCGTTAAATGCAACAAGACCTCTCGTCCCCTGGCATGGTGAAATTGCCATGGCCGACAACAAGTAGACCATAGACTTTCGACCAATAAGACAGTTCAAATTGACAAGGAAATGATTGGTAAAAGGTATAAGGAGGCTTGTGAAGAACATAAAAGACAACAAGTAATACTGTCTCTCTCTCTCTCTAACTACTCTCTCTATCACTTCCAATCTAACTTGATCATCAGAGTGTCTACGGGAAGAAACTAAGCCAGTCTTGGTGCCTCCCCACCAAACCTTTTGCAGTCACACACACTAAGGAGACAAAGGCGAGTAGACCTGTGGAACGTGTGGATTAGTCCGACCCATTGTCCATTGACCATATTGGATTATCAACCCTTGGTTGATAGTTGTGTTCATTGTCACTGGAGGAAGTTCCACCATGACCCATCTTCTACGTTAGAATGGATTATTACGACGAGATCCATGGCTTCACAACACAATGCTGGTAACCCCCAAGCTGAGTCCTCCAACCCAAGCAACCCACCTCCGTATTTCGTCGAACTCACTAACAGCATTAACCGCCTAGCCGAACAAAACCAAGCCCTGATTAACGCTTTGCTCTAGCGTGACTTACCTTTCCCTCCCCTCCTCCCTCTCACCACAAGAAATTCCCCTAAACCTAGAACAAGTCTGCTAGCATCCCATCCAACCACATGTGTCCCAAGGTCGTTCTAGCCCTTCGCCCCACAAGCTCAACCGACAAATCTTGAAGGTCTGCACGCCCCTCATCTAGGCTCGCAGCTTCATTACCCCCTACAATACCACGCTGCTATCCATGAGGGAGAAGCTAGTAGTGTTCAATCTCCACTTCATGCTCTAGGAGACAACGCTCCCATTTGGGACGAAGAACTATGGGCCATGAAGCTCTAGCTCCAAGGGGTCGCGCAAAACATGCAGAACTGACCTTCTCCCATTGTCAACTCCCCCTTTACCACTTCCATCAAGGACAAACCTCTACCCCCTAAGTTGAACATGCCGTCGATTGACACCTTCAAAGGTATAACCGATCCGGTTGACCATGTGGAAGTGTATAGGACACTCATGATCCTCCATGCCTTCCCAGACAAGATCATGTATTGCGCTTACCCCATCACGCTAAAGGAGTCAGCGCGGCTCTAGTTCAGCCAACTCTAACCAGACTCTGTCATTTCTTTTCACCAGCTCAGTGAATCTTTCTTAAGCCATTTCATTGGTGCTTAATGGCAGTGGCATCCGACGACTCAGTTGTTAAATATTTGACAGACAGAAGGGGAATCGCTGGGCAGCTTTGTCACCTGCTTCAATACAGAGGCCCTAAAGGTGGAAGAGAATGATGACAAGGTCATTCTAACAATCTTTATGGTTGGTTTGCACCCGTCGGATTTCCTCTTCTCCCTCTCTAAAAATCCTCTAACCACCATGGCTGTCCTCCTCGCCAAAGCCCAAAAATACATGAACGCCGAGGACTCTTTGGCGGCTCACCAAGATTCTACATCTAAGCCCTTACAATCCAAAGAAAAGTAAAAAAAGCCTGAGCCCAGGCATTCACAATAGACTCACCGACCTCTTCAATATACTGACTGACCGCCACGCTTCGATCGACTGGCTCTTACCCACCTACCTGGTCGGTTCGAATGGTACACCCCTCTCAACTCACCCATAGAACAAGTCCTAAACCGAATTCAACATGACTACAACCTAAAATGGCCCCAACCATCAAGATCTCCTTCCGTTCGACGGGACCAATCCAAGTATTGTTGTTTTCATCATGATCATGGCCATAACACCAAAGAGTGCGTCAATCTTAAGGACCAGGTTGAGGACCTAATCCGACAGGGGTGACTTAACCGATTCACCATAGCCTATCCCCACCAAAGAGGCAGGGACGACCCTCTAAGACAGAATGACAGACGCATTCTTCCCAAGCAACCTGAACAACCTAGACGGAATGATGACAGAGCCCAACCACAACCTCAAGCCCAATGAGGGCCTGCACCTCCATTGGGAGAGATCAAAGTCATTGCAGGCAGACTTGCGTACGATGGATTAACTTGGTCGGCACAGCGAGCCGAGCGCAAGAAGATGAGACAGGGCTCAGATAAGGATGTAGCGATAGTAGACCGGCTCCACAAACAACCCAAACAATGGTTGGAGCTAATCACCTTCACAGGTGCAGACTACACCGAATTCCGCTACCCCCATAACGACCCTCTAGTCATTTCTACTCTTCTATCAAACTACAAAGTCAGACAAGTACTTGTCGACAATGGCAGTTCATCAGATATTATCTTTCTTAATGCCTTTAGATAACTCAGGGTCGGGGAAGAAACGTTTTCACCCTTACAAACCCCTCTGGTCGGATTCACTGGCAATCAGGTGACCTTCACTGGCTCTACTGATCTCCCAATCACCATCGGCGAATATCCACGGTAGTCTACCAAACTCCTCACTTTCTTCGTTTGAGACTATCCTTCTGCCTACAATATTATACTTGGACACACAACTCTCAATGCCCTTCAAACTGTGACATCCACATACCATTTGGCCATGAAATTTTTAACTAATCAAAGGGTCGGCATTGTGAAAGGCGAACAGATGATAGCCAGAGAATGTTACGTAGCCTTATTAAAGGAGGTCAAGATGAGGAAGGCTATGGTCATTGAGCGCCTCGATGCTAGAGATGAAGAGGAGCTGATTTGGGGGGAACCAGTGGAGGAGTTAGTTGAAGTACCCATTTCATTCTCAAACCCAATGAAGACGGCTAAGATCGGCAGCCAACTAAGCCTTCAAGCCAAAGCTGACCTTATAGCTCTCCCCACTGAACACAAGGATGTCTTCGCTTGGACCTATGCATACATGCTTGGCATCGACCCTTTTATTATCACTCACCACCTCAATGTCGAGCCCCAATTTTGACCGATCCACCAAAAGCAGTGAATTTTTTATCCAAAGCGCAACAACCTCATCGCTGTCAAAGTGGATAAATTGTTGATGGCCAAATTTATTAAAATTATGGACTATCCGAAGTGGTTATCCAAAGTGGTTTTGGTTTGCAAGAACAAAGGCAAATGGCAATTCTGCATAGATTATTCCGACCTCAACTGCGCTTGTCCCAAGGATAGCTACATGTTACCCAAGATAGATCTTTTAGTCGATGCGACGGCAGGCCATCAAATGCTTAACTTCAAGGACGTCTTTTTAGGCTATAATCAGATCCTAATGCATGTAGCCGACTAGTAACATATATCCTTCATTACAGACAAGGGAACTTACTATTACCGAATGATGCAAACGTGGGGGCCACCTACCAGTGATTGGTCAATGTCATGTTCAAAGACCAAATTAGCTAGAATGTTGAGGTCTACGCCGATGATATGCTCGTTAAAAGTAGGCTAGCTTCAGATCACCTATCAAATCTACGCGAGACCTTCCAGACCCTGCGTAGATACCAAATGAAACTGAACCCGAAAAAATGTGCCTTTGGTGTTGAATCTAGCAAATTCTTGGGTTTCATGGTCAGCCACTGGGGAATTAAAGCCAATCCAGGGAAAATCAAAGCCTTAATAGAAATGCTGTCTCCCATAACAGTAAAACAGGTTCAACGGCTCACTGGCAGAGTAGCCGCCCTTAACCATTTCATTTCAAGAGCAACCAACAAGTGCCTTCCATTCTTCAAGGTGTTTACGAAGGCTTTTGTTTGGAATGCCAAATGTGAAGAGGCATTCTAGCAACTGAAACAGTGTATGGCCAACTCCCCCTTCTCTCTCAAGCACTCCCAGGGGAAACCCTATTCCTCTATTTGACTGTTTCCTGTATTGCGGTCAATGCAACCCTAATCAGGGAAGAAGACCTAGTCCAACGCCCGGTTTACTACATTAGTCGCATGCTTAGGGGGGCAGAACATAAATATCCTCTATTGGAGAAATTAGCACTCGCCCTAGTCATCGCCTCAAGGCACTTCCGACCATACTTTCAAGCCCACTCCATAACAGTTCTTACAAAACAACCCTTGAAGAAAGTCATACAGCAATAGGAATCTTCTGGAAAACTTATGTAGTGGTCTGTCAAACTTAGCCAGTATGAAATCTCCTACCGACCCTGTATAGCAATCAAAGGGCAAGCCGTCACAGACTTCATTCTAGAGTTCACCAATGTCGACCCTCCTAAGCCTCCCCTTCTGATCAACATAACTCCTAACGAAATTGACCCTTATTCCTGGACTCTAAACATTGATGGCTCATCCAAAATAGAGGGGAGCGGGGCTAGGCTAATCCTTACCACCCCAGAAGGGGAAGATTTCAAGTGTGCCCTCCATTTCCAATTCACAGCCAATAATAATGAGGCAAAGTACGAAGCTCTGATAGCAGGTCCCAGGCTGGCCAAAGACATTGGGGTGGATCGCATTCAAGTGTTTAGTGATTCACAACTGGTTGTCGAATAAATAAACGGGAACTTCGACGTAAAAGAGGCAAAAATGAAATCATATAGGGACGTTGCCCTACCCCTCAGACGCCTCTTCAACAGTTTCCACATCAAACACATCCCACTGTCAGAGAATTCCTATATAGACGAAATGGCCCAATTAGCCTTGGCAGACCAGTTAGACCTCAGTCGCAGAGTCAGAATAAACTAGCTAACACACCCAACAATCTCATCAGATCCATGAGAGATTCACCTACTTTAAAACGAGCACATACCATAGGCACAGGGCATCATCCAATTCCTTGAGCAAGGGATACTACCAGGAGATAAAAAATAAGCAGACAAGGTCTAAGCTCAGTCGGCCAATTATATTATCATCGAAGGCATCCTATACAAGCAAGGGTTCTCCCGGCTGCACCTTAGGTGTTTAATACTACCCATTTTGCTTCAACATTTGCTCGCTCGGCTTGTGCCTTCACCTCCGTCAACTCCACCCTCGCCCCAACCCCCTTGTTCAAAAGCACTGTAGCCAGTGTCAAGGCCTCTATCTACGCTAAGCCCAGGGCCTTCATGAGTTCACCCTCACTAAACCTAGATGCATCTCTGATCACAGCATCATCCACTACCCCAAGCATCTGCTTGTAAGCGGCCTTCACGTCGCCTAGAAAATTTATGGATTCAATAAGGTCACTCAAGGGCACCTCCTCTATGGCACTCAAATGCCAAGCAGTGGTACTCTTGCCCTCCATGCCTACAAGCCTCTTCGTTGTGCTTGCCTCTATTTCAGTTGGGCGCTTGGCTGTCTCTTTCCCATCCTCCACGATCTTCTCCACCTTACTAGCATTGCTCTCCTCTGGCTAAGGACGGTCTCTCCCTTGGCTTAACTCTTGTTGTCTTGGCTCACTTAGCCAACTTTGCTCCACCAAAAGAGGGTTAGCTTCGGTCATTGCTACATCAACCACTGTCCCCAAGGGCCTCTCTTCCACCTTGCTCCCTTTGCCATCCCTTCTTTTTTTTTTTTTAGAATGGGCTCTTCTCCTCTACCCTTAGACGCACCCCTTTTCTTCTTTTCTCACGCTTGCTCCACCTCCACTCTGTTTCTCACCTTTAATGGGTCGAATGGAGCCTTCAAATGCGCAAAAGTCCTCAATCCCCCTCTGCCAGGGCTTGAGGCTATGGGCAAGCAGACCTCTTCGTGATCAACTTAGGAGCTGGGGCCAACTCCTTCTCCTTATATTTTTCTGCTACCGCCAAGATTCACCTATCTTCTACTTCTTGGGCCTTTCTCATCACCTCCATCTCTTTAGGGATAGGATCCCCCTTAACAGGCTCTGGCCCCAACTTTAGAGCAAACAAGGCCAAAGGTTTATGAGGTTGTCCCATCTGAGCCCTCTTTCTCTCTTTACTCCTTCACCTGCTTCACCATTCTCTCAGCTGTAGTGTCCAATTTCAGTTCCAAGGATTTGGTGGGAATTTGCTACATTGTCCGCACCCCCTCCCACGATCTACTGATATGAAAAACTATTTTATGCACCACCCCTTAACAGATGAGGGAAGCCCTGCCACCAACCCTCTACCCACTACTGCCTATAGAGTCACCCATGTTTCCTATTGGCTTAAGGCTTTATAGTAAGAGAAAAAATTGTCCACTGTCATCACCTCTTCGTCAGTTGCCCGCAGCCAAGAGATTGTACATGCAAACAAAATCTTCTACGCATTCGACATTAGTTGGCCTGGCACCACCTCCAGTCGATTTAGCACGTTGGTGACGAGCTGTAGGAGTGGCAGTCTTAACCCTCTATAGAGTGCCTCGTCATATAAAGCAAACTCCCCTAATCGTATGTCTGAAACCCTCTCTGTTGTTATTGGCAGCCTCAGCTCCAAGCTTGCCAAGATCTGGTATTTGGTACGCAACTCTTCCAGATGCTCGGGCGTTAACGTCAATTTACCCGCCTTGGTATGCCAATGGTCAAGGACAATTTAATTCAACGGTTGGGCGGCTGATATCATCATCGCAGGAATGGACTATGGTGGTCTCTCCACCCTCTTCTCAACCAACCTTTCCACTCTATACTTCTTTGTGAGGGCCACTCCGTTGTCATCCCCTAGGGAATCAGGTGTCATGGGAGGGACTCTCTTTTGTGCCATATCCCTTATGTTCCTATAAATCGCTTCGATGGCTAGGATGAGGAAATTCAAGATGTGAAACAAAGAGGAATTCGTAACTATGAATGAGGAGAAGTCTGGAATATGCTAGTTTTTAGCAATAAGGTACGAAAATCGCACAAGTCCGAACACCCAAGGTTTGCCTGTGCTCCAGGGATCGCGGTTAAAATTTTCCACTTCAAAAACAATTTCGCCAAAAATGTGGAGGGAACAAAAAGATAGGTAACGAAAGTGGAACGAAACAAATAGCCTTTTTACCTCCCACAAACAGTTCAAGCTCCTCATCAACGGCCTAAACTGCGCCACGTTTACGGCCACGATCACTCCCCACCACTAACTTTCTCTCTTCTGTCTCATTTGTCCCCCATCACATCATCACACGCACCTATGCACCTTGAACCCCATGTACCATCAAAGCCATCAAGTCAACCTCCTAGATCCCATGGTCAACCACCTCCACGGTCGGTCACCTCAACGGTCGACTGCCTTTACGGTCAGCCACCTTGACAATTGGTCACCTCTACGATTGAGCACCTCAATGGTTGGCTACCTTGGTAGTCATTCACCTCAATGGTCGACTGCCTCTGCAGTCGGTCACCTCAACGGTCGGCCACCTTGATCGTCGATCACCTCAATGGGCGACCACCTTAACGGTCGGCCACCTTCACGGTCGGTTACCTTAACAGTCGACCACCTCAATGATTGGCCACCTTCTCGGTCAGTTACCTCAACAGTCAGCCACCTTGACGGTCGGTCAACTCAACAGTTGACCACCTCAATGGTCAACCACCTTGATGGTAGGTCACCTACGGTCGGCCACCTTGACGGTAGGTCAACTTAACTGTCGACAACCTCAACGGTAAGCCATCTTGACGATCGGCCACCTTGACGGTTGCCCAGCTTTGCACTTGGCTCTCTCGACGGTCAGTCACCAAGGCAACTATCCACCCTCG